GTTAAAAAATAATTTAAAAAATGAACAATTCTTTTTTTAAAAAGAAAAACCAGTATAGGAATAATCCTTAAATAGTTGTTTGTAACTTGATTTCACAAAATGTTTACCTAAAATGATCTTATTATGACTTACAGATCATCTAATGTTAATATTTAGAAATCGGGGTTTTTATATTTAACATAATATAAAAGGACCTCAAATTTTGTTTATAAAAAAACATATATTTACAATGACTTAATAAACCTTTTGTTATTGAGAAATTAGATTCCATTGATATTTATAATACCAAACTCTAATTATTTGCATTTACTCATAGCAGATATTGTATTGAATTTGCTATTTAATCCATTCAGAGATTTTACTAACCCTCCTGATCTTCTCTTTTTGATAAACATGATATCTATTTTAAAGAGATCACTGGTTAAGACATTTAAACTGAAGGTCATTGCACTAATTTTTAACAGGATTTCACCACTTTTGTCTATATCTTTTGCATTTACGATAAACTCAAACTTGTTAAATTTTTCTATGCTGAGTTAAATTAACTAGCACAATCTACTTTTCATGGTATTTTTGCTAATTTCATAACAAGTTTTAATTTTTTGTTCATATTTTCCTTAAAGTCTATTTATTAAAACTTCTTTTTTATAATAGAGAATGTTGACATAATTTACTGCTAAAACAATAGTATTGTTTAACTATCATAACCTTCGTTTTTGATTCTCTGAGATATGTGATAATATCGTTTTCGGTTTATTTAAGTTAAAATAGTGTTTAGTATTACCCATATATACTGTAATCCTTGTTTATACAATCAAATCTATCATTTCTATTATAAAAAGGTTTTTAAGATTTTAAATCTTTTTTTAATAAGTAATTGTGTTGCCTGAACTTTATTCACTGTCATTATGGGGATTAAGTTTAGTTAAAGAAAACAAAGTGTTAAATTAATCAATAATAATTGTTAAACAAATTTTAATAAAATCCCCAAAAAAAGAATAAAAAAATGATTTATTGAATAATGATTATTATAATGAGAAAGATAATAAGTACAATGACAGCCTTGAGAATATGGGTGAACATGGCCGGCATCGTATAAATCGAGAGTTAGAGGGAGAATTAGCTTACCAACCCAACAAATTGTTTTATATTATATTTTAATAATATATTTTTTAAATTGTTACTATTTAAAGAATAAATTAAATACATACACTGGAATTTAAAGTATTTTTAATTAGTATTTTAGTGATTACAGTAAAATCTGACATTTTATTTAAGTGTTTTTACATTGTATATACAACTATGAACTTTTTAAATAAGATCAATCAAAGACGTTTTGTTAATAAAATTGTTTTCAATGATAGCGCTATAAAAACTTTAAAATAACTTCATATATAAGTAATTTATACTTTACGTTTCCTAAATAGCGCTTAACATAAAATTATTTAAATTTTACCCCATTGCCACTTTTAGACACAAAGTTATTTATAAAATAAAATTCTTATTTATACATAAAGATTCTATTATACTACCTAAATACTGATAGGTTTGTATTTTATATTTAAACTCATCTAAAAATTTAAATATTTATCTTTATAAAAAAATCGTTGTAATATTACCGAGTTGAATGTTTTAAAAAAATTACCAAAACACATATAAGCAAATTTTAAAAACTTGTATCTATGGTAAGCACAATCAATATTATGACTCTCACATTAAGCAAATGTAAAATTCACATTAATTTACTTTATATTTCAAAACAACCTTTTTACTTAAAAGTATATTATATTAACATAAAATTTAAAAATAACCATCGTTTCAAACTCAGTTTTATATTATGATATAAAAAATCAGTTTTATTTTTATTTTATATTCTTAAACAATATTTATATTTTCAATCTTTATTAACTAAAAGTTAATATAATTAAAAATTAATTATTTTTATCAATTTTTTCCACCCTTAATGTTAACTTTTAAAAAGATCAGAGATGAA